GTATGGTGACCAAGGCAAGAGTACACAGATAGACTACATTCTGTGTAGATGAGGTAATCTGAGGGTGATTGGGGATTGTAAGTTTGTGGCAGAGGAGAGATTCACCAGACTTCATTGCACGATGGTGTGTAGAAGAAGTTTAAAATTCAAGTAATAACATAGTAGGGCCTCTGCAACTCACACAAGGAAACTGAGAGTTTATTTATTTATTTATTTATTTATTTTTGGTGAGTCTCGACACCTCGTGAATTTACAAACCTCTTTGAAACTGTGATAAACTCTCGTTTTGATTCTCAAGGTCCATCTTATTTTAAAGAATACAGTATATTTTCCATATTTCTCCATCAGAGCGCTCCACTCTAAGGTTTATTCCTAGAGGTTCTAAAAGTAGAAAGGTACACATGACATATTTCTCCAAATTATTTTATGTTTTGTCATCTTTGTTGACTCGCTTTGAACATAATGTTTAACATAAACACATTGATTTGTCTTCTTGTTGCATTATGCTATGCAAATACATTGGCTTTGCTAACAAATTAGCTACTATAAGTAATGGTTCCAAAAAAAATATTGTCTCTTCGTCAACTCAGTTGACATAGTACAGCTGCAGTCCATCCTTTTTACTATGCAATAATAATTTGGAACTATGAGACATGGCATCTATACCAAGTAAGCGATTGTTCCTTCAACGAATGAAATAACACTTTTTGCCAACCTCATTTAATTTGTAGCTGGAATGAAACAAAGGGACCACAACCTGTGAAGGATGGGGAGAAAAAAATCACTGATGCAAAAAGCTTCACAAAGAAATGAGCAAAGGAGAAACGGATATGATGAGAAAGACATATGCGAGTTCCACCCCTCTCTCTGTAGTCAGGTGACAAACCCCCCGCCCGAGGCCACTGCCATCATAAACGCAGTAATAGAGTGAACACACATTTTCATTAACTATTGATTCATTTCCAATTCTCCATTAATTTTGGGGGGCCATCACTGCACAGTGGCCTTTCTCCTCCCCAGGCTACGTTTCTCAGCTCTGCCTGCTATAACTGTGGTAATTACTGTGCTGCYGCCCCACAAGCTGTTCACAGTCTCATACCTCAGGAAAAAAAAAGTGAAAAATGAATAAGTGTTCTGGAGACAAAAGCAAATGAAAGAAAGAGAGAAAAAGACAAAAAGCACAGTCTGAGAGAGAGAGAGAAATCAAAAGCAGCGAAGCTATCACCTACAGATGTGTGGCGAAAACGACTTAAAATGAACTTGAACTGATGCCATTGTGTTGTTTCAGCTTTAATTGTCAAAGTACTCGATCTGTTCAAAGCTCCGCATAGGAGCTGAGGCTAGAATTGTTCAAGTTGACACAAACTTTTATTTTTTACACAAAACTTTTCTCAACACCCAAGGTGAGGGAAGGGCYGAGCCRTAACAAGCACCAGAGACWGGGAAGAAGACTCAACTGAAACCTKTCTTTACAATATTACTTGAGTCAAAGAGAACAAATTATAATAACTGTTAATTTAAAGCCCTCTTGTAAGGTGATAAATCCCATATGGGTTCATCATATTCAACCATTAACACAGATTTGCAAATATTCCGTGAAGCCAATTATGGTTCAGTTTTTTAAAGTGTTGTTCACAGACTCTTTTGCATTTTTTTGTAAAAGTGAACAGTACAAATTTTAGGCTTTATGGTTTTTAATGTGTACCATAACAACAACTCGGAGAGCATTGTATGTTTTAAGGTTTTAGCCTAAGATTACAAAAATTGGAGAACCACTACACTAAGATTATTTTTGGGACTGGAATTGTTTTAAAACAACAGCATTTTGTCTTWGTCGCCCTCAGACTAGACAGCAGCTTGTCATTCCACTCATAAATAAACACGTCATTCAAAGACCTATATTTAACAGGTAAATTGATCTTTTCTTAAATTATCTGAGGCCAAACAGAAAATATAATGCTTAAATGGTATAACTGAAGAGCTCTTACCTGATTGAAGCAACACGCCAAGAAATGCATGAAAAAAAGAGGAGAAAMGGTAGAGTATCTTAGTATTTTTGTGTAATTTTGACACAAGACAAAATGTAATTTGCAATAATACATTGTGTTGTTGGTGAATCATCAAAACAGCAAATCTRGTTCATATAAATAGGTGCAGCCTTTCTGTTTTGGTTGTAAAAACAATGATGCAGGGCAGACAGGGAATCAACATAAATCGTTTGACATGTTTCGTAAGTGGAGAACATTACTGCTCTGCCATCACCTGCACAGGCAAAGTGCCGCTGTTCATTGGACCTGAGGCTACCCAGCAGCACGGATGGGGTGTGGGGGTGGGGGTGTGGAATGAACTTCACGGGGTTCATCTATCACAGTAGCTTGCCTCCCATGCTCCAAAAAACGGGTGAAATAAATAGAGAAACAAATGGCAAAGCAAATCAATTACATGAAAAAGAATCATGTCACCTGTCAAATATACACTCTGTTCGGTGTCATTCGTTCTCTTTTTTTCCCAGCAGCTAATGTTTTCAGAATTCAATTTTGAAAACCTTATACATTATTAACAAACTTCACACTTCATCAGCTTCACGGGGCAGACCCCACCCGCACCCCTCTTCTGTTGCTTTTCTCTTTTCACTGAAACAAAATCCAATGAGAATGTTCTTTTTTTCATTAGAAAGTGCTCTCCTTTTAATCCAACATACGATCATCCAGTGCCACATATTAAATCCAACAGGGAACCACTTCAAACTCACACGTTTCTGGATCAGGAGGAGGCAAGAAACAAGTAAAAGTAGAATAACAATGCCCATTTAAGTCACCCATAAAACCCCATGATGTTGGCTCGAGAGGTTGGACGGAAGCTGTGCCATTCTGGGAAAGAAAAAAAAAACTGCTCATGAAGAGTTTTTATATCTGCTTAGATTAAGGGTGCTTGGAAGAAGAGTGAACTAACAACAGCGTTGTCAAGGAAACAAGTGCCACAGCGACACCTTAATCTGAAGAAATTTAATTGGAAAAGGAGTGATAAACATCTTCTGGTGCGAGTGTATGATGTACTGAACGACATTTGAAAGGAAGCTGACTGAGCACTCATTACCGAACTTATTGTAAAAATTACACTAATGAATGCATACAGGGAAGCTAATAGGATTCTGATGTAAAAACATCTTCCTTAACAGGATATACAATGTTTACAAGACTTGTTGCGCAATGATGCTGCGTGTAATTGTGATAAGCAACAGTGTAAACAGCACTTGTTCAGAAAATGCCYCCACAAAACAAATATGAGCTCTTGGGAGCGTACAGGTGCACGCCGCACATGCTGTTTCTCATCTCTATTCTCAAGCTCGCACTCAGTTTGAAACTACAACACAAACAAGACATGCTGTAGGACACACTATTATTAGCGTCTCAACTTTGGCAATGAAAAAAAAAACAAGTCATAAAGAACTTGGTKCAAAATGACATGCAAATGGAGCAGAACTCGAGAAATCTTTGCCATCTCTCACCAATTATCTTGTTAATTACAAGCCATTGTGGAGGGCTCCTACCGTCGGCTGAGGCTCTGATTATACAGTGCATTTGTCCGCACTTTCCAAAGCCTAATCAGTAATTACTACCTGCAGCTGCAACTCGGCACAGAATAGGTTTGGACATCTTTGAGCAACAAGGAACACTAGRCAGTTTGCAAAATCCAAGGCTTGTCAGCGCTGAACGCATGTAGTTCAATCAGCTTAAAATTGTCGTTGAAGAAAGTTGCATATTAGTGTACACAACACTAATTTTCTTTACAAAAAAAGCCATTTTATGCTGATGGATTAGGGTTAGGGTTAGGATGGCTACGTCAAAGTATGAACTGACCGAGCCACTTTCTTAACTACACTCTTTAAATTTCAATGTACACATTTGGGTAGTGGATGATACAATACTGTGCAAATTGTAAGTGCGAAAATGCACAAGGTGGTGAGAACGTTCATCTCAACATATAAAATTATAGAGAAATAACATTTTTGGCTTGGTTAAAGATTCTGTGTAGACTCTTATTTTATTTTTATTTTTTTCACAGTTTACCTCAGCTGTTTCCTTTCAGGATAAACTGAGAGTCATGTTGGAAAAATAATATAAACATGGTTCCATTGTTGTTGTTTTTGGGACACAAATCAATCGTTGGCATGTGCTGTATCTAGCAGCCATTCCAGGACCTATTTTCCTTAAGGCAAACACCAATCTATAACTGACTTGGTTAGCTTGTTTTGCATTCCACTCACTCACAAAATGTAGTTATCAATTTGGAACTTAAAAACACACACAAACACTTTGTCCTTCCCTGTTTTTTTGTGAAGATATTTTTGGCATGTGGTAATTTGAGACAGCTGGTACAATGTGGAGCACCAGCTTCACACCTGWGGGTTCTAAGATAAGTGAGGCTTATAAGAAAAGTGTTTGTGATTTAAAAAAAAGGGAAATGAGTGTTTAAAATCCAATGCTGTGCAAGCATCTGGCCACAAATCTTGTGTGGTGAAGTWTATTTTTGAGGTACATACAGTAAAAAGCATTGAGAGTCTTTCTCATTCTGGTCTTGGAGGTCATAGCCCAAACCATTGCACCCAACAGCATTTGCTGAGAAATACTTCCTGGCAATGCATATCAATGCTGCAGATCTATTAGGAAGGTGGTTAGAGAGAAGATCATCACTAATATCAAAGGTAGGTGAGAGGGGAGATAGGTTCTATTTGACTGCCACTAAGGTCAATAAATGTTAAGAAGGGTATTAGATATAATGACTCAAACCCAAGTATGGCTTATGGGCAAAGAGTCTTTCCTTTGTCTTTCACATTTGCTGTCAGAMGAAAACCACTCATCTGTAAATTGTGGCAAAAACTCTAGGTTCAAGTTGTTTATCATTTAGCAGAAATAGTATTATGACACTATGACACACTAATGAAAGTCAAGGCATCTTATTACACCAATAAACCTAACTTTGAGGCCTATAAATACACAGAATATTCTCTTGGTAGAAATTATGCAGAAGCACTGTTGCATTTGACTGCTTGCATGTGTGTATACTGTCATGGGTTGAGACTGTTGTGTGGTTGGTGAAACAGAAAACAACCAGGCAACCTTCAGAGGTCAAGTCTCCACCGTTAGCCAATTTATCACAGTTGTGATCCTGCTCATCTGCTGCCATAAAGAGAGACAGCCTATTTTTAACACTTTTGCCATTTAACCAGGTTAAGTATCTCCTTGTGGCTGGACATACAGATAAGTAATTTACCAAACATTGGCTTTACAGTAAATAATTATGACTGGTTTTTTTTCTTTAACTTCAAGAGAACCAACTTTAATTTTAATGTATTGCAAGCAATATTCAATAGWAAATGCTTAAGCCTGGAAATCCTTGGCATTTATGTTTTAACCGTTTTAGATACCATCAATTACTTTATCTGGCAAAGAGCCAGATTGGGTGATAGGAGAAAGTTGGATACACAGATGCAAGGTCAAAGAGATCACTTCTCCTGCTTTGATGCGTGTAAAGGTCTAGCAAATGGTGGGATGGGAGCACGAGGGTAAAGAGACAGATAAGTGTGGCAGGAAGAGGAACAAGGCAGGGGGGTGGGTGGATGGATAGAAGTGGAGAGGAGAGGTGGGAGAATGCTTCAGTGGCTCCACTTGACAGCTGAGTGATAGGGGAAGCAGAGTGGCTACTCTATGTAATTTGTTAGCGAGTCCATGATGCATGCAGCCATGATACCCACACCATGGTTGGCGAGCACAGAAACGACCAGAGAGAGAGAGAGAGAGAGAGGCAGCAGAGAGGAAGGAGAGAGGGAAGACAGGGAAGGTTTGACATATCAGAGTACATCAAGGAAAATATCAGGTGTGGAACGAAGAGTGAATATAGATGATGAATCAGATTTATCAGGTTCTTGGCCGTCGTTAGCCATGTGAGACTGACTAGTTTGGGCCCCTTTCACAATAAAAGACAACTTATTTGAATGGAAAAAATCAACCAGTGTGGTTGACTTTTGCAGTGTCTTAAGTTATCATGTAAGTTATTATAATGGGGTATAATAAGCTGTGGAAGGTTGTGAAGATGCACAAACTTTTGCATCAAAGTCATGGGGGTTCATCATCGTGATGGCAGTGAAAGGAGCATACCCGCAACAAGGGGTCTGAGCACACCAGTCTGGCTTGGTCATGAAGAATTTGAAGCAAGGCACTTTGGACTGAATGGTAAATGGCCTGAACTTGCATAGGACTCCAAAGCGCTTCACACTTTAGTCATTCTGATACAAACATTCACACACTGATGGTGGTAAGCTACATTGTAGCCACAGTTGCCCTGGGGCAGGCTGACAGAGGTGTGACTGCCATGCACTGTGAYAAAAAACAACAACAACTGAGATGGACAGAGCAGGGTTCAAACTGGCAAACCACCAGTTACTGGAAGACTCTCCTACTTCCTGTTGGCCGTCAAGCCAAGCCTAGATTTCATAGTTTTTGATAGTAACAAAATCATAAAAATAGTGAGCCACAAATATCATGCTCATGACATTAGGACCATACTAGTATGGTGAGATCTTCAACTATATTTTGATACTGTCTGTGTCATACCAAAGAAGGGCAGGGAAGTTGAGTCCATAAATGGATTTAGTTTCATGGGAATGTGCTTCTGGCATGTGGAGAATGGTAAAGACTCTGGTCTATATGTTTTGCMTGAGATGTGAAAAAGAGCAGGAAAACCCTTTTTAGCCAATAGCAAAAKCAGCTTCATGATTGTCTTCACACTAAGTTCTAATAGGTATCAGAGAGTGTAGATGGGTCAACATCCTTTCTTAAAGGAGAAGCTCCTCACTTTGAGGCTGATGTTTTGAATAAAATAACCTCTGTGGTGCATGCCTTTGTTTTTCACTTAAACATTGGTATCGCCCSAGCTACCTTTGCTTTGGCCCGCGGCAGGTGTATCTCATCTATGTACTAGTGACTGTGGATGCAAGCACATATTATCCAGGCTCATCTGACACTGACAAAACTGGCATGAATCTGGTCAAGTGCCCACCATTAATGATTGCACGTTGATGAGTGATCACTTTGTAGATGTGTAGGTATGTGTGTGTGTGTGTGTGTGTGTGTGTGTGTGTGTGTGTGTGTGTGTGTGTGTATGTGTGTGTGTGTGTGTGTGTGTGTGTGTGTGTGTGTGTGTGTGTGTGTGTGTGTGTGTGTGTGTGTGTGTGTGTGTTTCAGATTATGCTTGCAGCTTGTTGATATGGGACTGATCCAGGATGCCATGGCAGCTGTCTGCTATAATTACCTGGGTGCCCAATAACACACACACACACACACACACATACACACACAACTTCTGATTACCTCAGAAGATGAGCTTTGTCTGATTAGCTTCCATATTTACTCCAAAATCGTGTTATTATCAAACATGTGTTCATTGTTTCACTCCACTTTACTTTGTAACTTTCTGAGCATTTTGAAAAAATATTTGACAAARTTTGATACATCACAGATTTTGTATTGTAGCAATAATGAAAAGCAACTGCTGCTTTGATTAGAGAAAAGTGCTTTGCTTCATGTGTGATGTTTTCTTTTTAGTTTGGCAGTTTATAGCCATGTGTTCTCCAGAAAATAGAAATTATGTTAAAATCAAGGTACATATAAGCCAAGCATTCCACCAGACACACCATGGAGGGGCACAAACATTACCAGACAGTATTTCTGGGAGGCATGTTGATGACTCTGAATGTCTCTATATCA